TACATCTGTTTTCGCAAATGTTTTACAAGTTTTATAAATATTTGTAATTGTAAAATTTTAAACCCATTTTTGTTTTTTTATTTTAGTTTTAGAACGTCCTACATCACAGATGTCATATCTCGAGCACTTTCTTAAAGAGACAGGTAGTACACGTCATGGAAGCGTCGACAGCGTAGAAGGTGACATCGAGGATAATCGTGCACCTAGTATTACAAGCAGCAAAAGTAATTTGTCTGAACTTAGTATCGTAAGTATCTTAACATGCATTTGATGAATTAAAAAAAGAGATTACAAACGAGTTGATTAATAATCCTCGTTCTATTAGAGAAACGGGTTGATATAGAAGTATATTTTTAATAAGGCTTAAATTAATTTTCAAAACACAAGGTACAAATAGGATAAAATTTAATAATATGCTTCATATATATATAGTTTAATTCTTTTCTTTTTCTTTCTAGGATCCAACATCGCCACTATCTCATGAACTTTTGAACAAGTCTTCATCTACTCATGGTCAAACTAATTTGCAACCAAAACCTAAATCACACCAGTTTCTTGTACGGACATTCTCGGCACCCACAAAGTGTAATCATTGTACATCTTTAATGGTTGGATTAACTAGGCAAGGAGTTGTATGCGAAGTGTGTGGCTTTGCATGCCATATGCCTTGTTGCGATAAAGTACCTCCAATGTGTCCTGTACCCCATGATCAAAGTAAGTAATACTAAAATAGTTTGTGCAAATTTTTATGATCCAATTTAATTTTATTTTGAGATATGTCTTCTAAAAAGCTGCCGATTTCAAATAGCACCTATATTCATTTCTTCGTTATATAAGTAATATTCCATTTTTAAAAAGCTTATTACATTCAAAATATGTTATTTAAGTCACATCTTCTCTATCTTTATAATATCGTCTCAATTCCTTGTTATGTAAGTGTTTATTTTACATTTTGCGACATATTGTTTTAGCCAAACGACCATTGGGGATCGATCCTACAAGAGGGATAGGAACTGCATATGAAGGATATGTCAAAGTGCCAAAAATGGGTGGTGTCAAGAAGGGTTGGGTTCGTCAATTCGTTGTAGTTTGCGACTTTAAATTATTTCTCTATGATATTTCACCAGATCGCAATGCTTTGCCATCTGTATATGTTTCGCAAGTACTAGATATGCGAGACGAAGAATTTAGCGTGAGCTCGGTTCGTGATTCTGATGTAATACACGCTACAAAGAAGGATATTCCGTGTATATTTAGGGTAAAATTTCCTTGATATTTTTATTGTAATTATACAATAGATTCCTATTTTTATCGTATTTTTCCAAATCAATCAACTTGCAGAAATTTTGGATTTTTCTTATTTCTTAGTTAAAATTGTAGATTGGGAATGTAAAATAAGAACGTTTGTGTTCGTGTAATAGTAAAAATAATCAATAAATTATACATCTGCATATTAATTGATAAATTCTGATTAATTTAATCATATTATTCTGACTGTAGTATTACTTGACTATAATACTTTGACAATTTAAGCCCATTGTTTTTATTTTACGCGATAATTTTGTTCTCAATTTAGGCATTTGAAAGTTTATTGTGCATTATATTTTGCATGGAATAAATAGTTTTTATTTTAATTTAGATAACAACGTCGCTATTGGAGCCTCCTGGATTGAGAAATCATACGTTAATGTTGGCAGATACAGAGAGCGAAAAGACAAAATGGGTAGTAGCTTTAAGCGAGCTTCATAGGATTTTAAAGAGGAACAATCTTCCAAACACAACGGTATATACTTAATTACATCTGTAATAAACATTTCTCTTTTTATATCTTCAAAAACTTGTCATTAAGAAAATTTTTTTTAATCATATTTTTTGCAAATATAAGATATTAACACTTTATTAATTCATATTTTTCTCTTTTGCTATAGATTTTTAGAGCGAAAGAACTGTTGGACAATACCTTGGCATTCATAAAAAATGTGATGTCAGGAGCAATTATTGATCCAGATCGTCTAGTCATTGGTACAGAAGAAGGTCTCTTCTGTTTAGATTTAGATCGTAGTGGTAAGTTATCTCAGATATTTTGTATTATAGACTTTTACTATACAAAATTATAATACAATATTTCTCTGTAGAAGGTATATATATGAAAGACATTTTTTATTTATAAAAAGTATTCATAAGTAGCAGTATAAACGATTGTATCTTATATAAATTAAGTGCAAATTATGATACATTGCAGAAATTGCAAGAGTCGGAGAAGGAAAAAAAATATATCTTCTCGAATATGTTATTGAAGAACAATTGATTGTTGTATTAAGCGGAAAACAACGTCATGTACGGCTGGTTCCAGTACGTGCCTTGGATGGAGACGAAGTCGAATGGATTAAAGTCGCGGAGACTAAAGGATGCATTACATTAACAACTGGAGTAGTGCGCCGAAATCCGCTTAATTATTGCTTATGCGTTGCAATAAAGAAACAAGTAAGAAGGCGATTATAGAATATTTTTAACGATTTTTTACGACAACTGATTTATTTTGATATATCGTATGTAACGCCATGCGTTTTATTCTTGTTGTAGAATGCATCTCAAATCATCATCTATGAAATAACACGTACCAAAACAAGACATAAACGTTTACGTGAATTAATGTTACCATGTCATGCACAAACCCTGCAAATTCTTTCCGAAGGTCGCTTGTGTGTTGGCTATCCATCTGGTTTTTCTATTTACAGCATTTTGGGAGATCATCATCCTATTTGTAAGTAGAATATAAAACGAAAGCTTTTTCTTTATTAAACTTACTCTTATTTTATAGCAATCTGTATATTATCTTCATCGAATATTTTTATACTTTCTTCAGCTTTGGTCCACGCTGAGAATACACTCTTAGGTTTTCTTACCTATAGTGCCGTGGATGCATTACGTTGTATCGAATTAGCACGGGGTGAATTCTTATTAGTCTTCCATACGTTAGCGGTATATGTCGACAGTCAAGGAAGAAAGAGTCGAGACCGAGAGATAATGTATCCTGCAGTTCCTACGGCAGTTAGTAAGTATCGACTAACCAATATCAATAACTATATATAATCATATTAATCCTATTAAATGTTAAATTTGAATATCAAAGTTGTAAATAAGTTTTCTCATTATTCTCATTGATTTTATTATTCTCGCGAATTTCAGGTTATTGCGAAGGATATTTATTAGTGTATAGCGAGACTCATATTGATTTGTTTGATTGTACCTCTGGAGACTGGTTACAAACGCTTAATGTGAAACGAGCCCGACCATTAAATATTTCGGGCTCTCTTACGTCTTGCATAATAAATGACATGCCATATGTTATTTATCTTAGCAATTTACGTCAGCGTAAGTATATTTTATACATAACATACATCTCAAATTTTGCCACATTTATATACTATCCAATTTTCACATTATTGGATTAATTAATTATTATTTAACAATATTATACATTGCGTTAGGAGAACTACTAAATTTGACACCATTAGATACGAGTGGTAGACAAATGACAAGACCACGGCGACGGTTTTCACTGAGAGAAGGCAATAGAACCGTTCGCCCTACGGACAGACGTTCGAAAATGATTTCTGCACCCACAAATTTCAATCATATCAGCCATATGGGTCCAGGAAATGGGATACAGGTACATAAAAGAACTCATTTAGAAAGTTCTTTAATCAATGCTTCTCTTATTCTATGCTATGTATGTGGACAAATTAATATAAAAAATCACTAGATATTTTAATCGTTTTATGTTGTTTATTAACTCTACTTTTATATATACATGTACATGTTTATCATATTTCATATACATTTTTAAATTACAGATACAACGTTTATTAGATTTACCCACGACATTAGAAACTGCTGATCAACAACATACGAGCCATCATAGTAGTTCTCATCTTCACAGTAGTCAGCAAAGAGTAAGTAATATGAAAATATTGCTGCTTATTTAATAAATAGGACGATAATTCTTTCATTTTAATTTTTCTTACATTTTAATTTTAATATTAAAGCATAAATCTATCAAATTTTCATTTTACTCAACTTTTTTTGCAGCTATATGATTCTACGCTGCAAACACCAAACAAACCAGCGCCATTGCCTCCTAGGCATCCTCCTTCCGATACACGTCGCCTGAGCTCGCATATGTCGAGAAATTCTGGGTATTCGCCGCACAATGGTAAATTTGTACAATGCATTTTACAGCTATGGAACGTATGTAGCTATAGCTATGAAGTTTATGTAGCTTTGGTAAACTATATTGTTATGAACTTTTAATATTATAAATAGCAAGAGGGGAAGAGAGAGAAAGTAAAAGTGTAAATAAAAGTGCGCATATGTGTTTGTGTGTTTGTGTGGAGAACATATATTTTTCATTTTCATTAAATATGATTAAATGAAATATACATAGGTTCAACAACATCACGAAGAGGTCCTGCACCACCACGACCAACGGCCACGCCACCTTCTTTACCACGCACTCCAGTGGACCAAATTGATTCTGAATCGATACATTTGCGTTCACATACTCCACTCTCTCTTGGCAGTATCGCATCGTTACATAACAAGGTATGTTAATCTTGTTATTTTTTATATTGATAAGTTACTAGTTACGTTGTAATTATTGTCATCATTATTGTCACAAGATAAAGAACAACTCTATCTATTGAATTATCACAAATTTACATGTTTCTCGACCTTTATAATAAGTTTTGCAAATATAATACGTGTGCTTGTATGCCTATATGTGTGTCATGTATGTATGTACATATGTGTATATATGATATAATATATATATTTTTATTTTCTTTTCTGTTGTTTCTTGGCGAAAAATTTATTATTTATTTAAATAATCTCCATCATTCCCTGTCTTGAGAAATTTATATTTCTTTGCACTTGTGATTGTTCTGCCATTATAGTCTCCATCTTCAAATTCAAAATAATCCAATAAAAGAGCAAAAAAGTTTATACTATTTATATTTAATATAAGGTTTTATACTGAAAGTCTTTATACTGAATTTCTTGCACTTGTGTATGCTAAAAATGAGATAGAAATATATTTAGAATTTGGAGAGAAAAAACAAGAAGTGCAAAAAGTTTAGTTACAAAGAACAAAAATCTATAGAATACATTTATAAAATTAGGATATAAACCTCGGAAACGCTGTCTAAAATTACAGCTAGATACTTTTCATATATACATGCATTTTTTATATACAGGAGCATCCATCTGGAGGCAGCCCTAGACATTCGATAGCTTCGAACAACAGCTCAAATCCATCGACGCCGCCGAGTCCAGCCCACGATCATGGATCATCATCGTATGATTCGTAGATTTATTTAACACTTACGGAACCTAAATAAAAGTGGTATGTACCCAAAATACATACTTGAAAAACGATCAATTTAGTATATACATATACACATAGATATATACATACATATGCGCGCATGCGCATCCATATATTATATATGTGTATATATATGTTAAGCTCGTATTTTTACATATTTTTACATATTTTTACTACCTACTTTTTCATTCTCCATCTGCTTTTTTATTATTAAGAACGCATTTTGATGCGAATCATCGCGTTGACTAATGAATATTGCCAATCTCTAAAACATAGCTATCCAATAATTTGAAATTTAATTTTCCAAGCCTAACATATATAGTCAGATATTTGTGTGATGTACTTTGCAGAAAATTAGTACTCGTGTTTGATCTTCGAACTGGAAAAGTGGAAAATTATCACGCGGTATTTGTCGTGCAATATAATTACATATATCTAACATTACACAGTATATGAGTCTCAAACAAGTAATATATTGTCATAACAATGCGTTTTTATACATATACATATCATACATACATACATACATACATACACACGTATTCATACATACACACATACATACAAACATACATACATGCATGCATGCATGCATACATACATACACACATACATACATATAGATATACATACGTAGATATATAAGTGTATGTATATGTATGTATGTATATATATATATATATACATATACATACACTTATATATCTACGTATGTATATCTATATGTATGTATGTGTGTATGTATGTATGCATGCATGCATGCATGTATGTATGTTTGTATGTATGTGTGTATGTATGAATACGTGTGTATGTATGTATGTATGTATGTATGATATGTATATGTATATGTATAATACAGTCAATTTTCTTTATGAAAGAAATGCAACAGTGTATTATTATAATTTTCTGATTTTTAAGAATTTATATGTAATAATTTATAATGCATTCTTAACGAAGAAATGAATTATTATTCGTAAATTATTGTAAATATTTTACGCACTTGACGATTGTTAAGCCCGTTTTGCGATGCCATATCTATTTCTTTCGATAGTTGTCATTTTTTTCATCGTGAGACAAGAATATCTTCGCATTTTATATAACAAAAAATTGGAATCTCAGTCAAATTAACTAGCAATAAAATATAAACTATTTAATGTATTATACATATTCTCGACTTTAGAAGTAAAAACAGTAGCTGCGAACATATAAATATAATCATCGTTAATAATCGGAATAGCTGCGCGATTTTTACGATTCTTAATTAGTCTCGCGCGAGAAGTATCTTAAGGAGTTTGTTCACCATTGCGCCCTTATTTCCAACGATTCTATGTAGAAAACAATAGTTTTTCAGCTGTTATACAAAAACATGCGACGTAATGAATGTTATCATTCATGTTTTCCTTTTTTTTTTTTTTTTTTTTTTTACGAAGCTTTTTGATTTGAGCGTTTGTAAAGTTTACAATGATGAGTTTTACAACGTAAATGTTACAACGTAATAATTGTCATTGCGTATATTTGTCTTGCTCTGACTCGTAAAGACATATGTAAAAATCGCGTTTTTTAACTTTGAGTTTCTCACAAACTATGCAGATTAATTGTGCGAAATTTTAACTGCGAATATATTATAACACAAAGAATGTAGTATTCAAGTTTTATGTAATTAGTATCTTCATTAAGATGAACAAACTCCTTGATAATAATATATTACATACACACATAACGAGATTATAGTTTACGTCAATGTACCGCATATATAGATAAATGATAGTTTTTTCGCGGGAATTCAATAATAAAGTTGAAGTTTATAATTTACAAAATTGCTCGATCGATTTTTCGCTTTCGGAAGAGTGTTTATCGCCTCGCGTGACTATTCCGTTTGCGACGTTAACAAGACGCAAATTAGATACAGCGTGAATCGATTCGATGCCTTATGACTAGTTTTCTATTACGTCATAATGCACTAATTATACATGATATTATTTGGCGTGTGAATAATAGAATAATCGTGTAATGTGTTGCGAGAGAGCTCTTGCTGATAATAATAGTTATTAAGAAAAGTTATTGCACTCACCTGTACGCGCTATAGGGTATACGTGGTGCCTCGTTGTATCAAAGATACGCGGCAGGAATATGTATCGTGTGTATATCGAATGTACTCCAACTGAAAATAGAATGAGAAACTATTGTCCTTTGACAATTTATATTCGTTCATTTCTTGATCGCGCGCGCGAAGTCATAATTATCAATTAATACAACCTCTCTTAGCGCGGATCATTTGATAATGCCAGTGCGAAATATAGGGAAAAAAAGTTATTACGGTTTGACGATTACTTAATATATAAAAAAAAATGACACTTAAATACGTTTAAGTATAATGTATCGAAATTAAGAAAAATGTTATAAAGAAAATGAAGACGAGGAAATATTATCATTGAGTCAAGATCAATCATAAATTATTTTTTATATATATGAATTAGGTTTTAAATATCGTGACGTATATGTCACGAATTGCAATGCTTTCATTACTTTTATATAATGAGTGTATAAGGCGCAGAGGATGCAAGACGTAAAATCAAATGGGACAATTTTATTTCGGACAAGTACATAGCGTTTTGTAATTAATAGCTATGATTAAATGATTTTTTGCTATCGGTTTTTTATAGTTTTAGTTATTCATTGATATATAAATCAAGGAGAGAATTTAATTATTTAAATTTAAATTATTCGAAACGCGCTTTGAAACAATTAAATGTGTACATTTTAAAATATAAGAAAGATATATACATTTATACATACATTTATTAAAAAGACAACCATGAGAAAATCATCATAAGGATTGGTACAAGAAGACAACTGTCTCAGGATACTATGCCAGTAGCTTAAGTACGATATAATATTACTTAATGATCAAAAGACTCGAACAAATTGCTATAATTTCACTGATTGTAGTTTTATGTTGGTGTGCACATCTTTCTAACTTACTTTTTAAAATTTATAGAAAATTCGTAAAAATTTGCAAAATTAAATTAAAAGGTTGGATTATTCACAAACATAATTGAATAAGGAAACGAAGATATCGCGCGACATTTGAGAAACATCACACAATTGTACTTTAAATACCTTTATATTTGCTCTCTCCCTCTATACTATATAATAAATAACTATCATTATAAGATGACTATTATAGACCTAATAGTCTTATTCTAAATGGAAGAAGAAATGTTATACTAAGAAACGGTTAGTATTATTGTCGTAAACAATTGTATCGTATATATAATGCACTGTTGTCCGTACTAAAAAGTAAACGCAAGTGAAATGGAATTTAGAGTGAACTACAATGGCAATCGAAAGAGATACGAAATGGACGTACCACTGTACTTATCGATAGAATTCAATAATCAGCCTATCTTCCGTTATTATTGCTTATAAGGGTTTAAAGGTGAGAAATATCGATTGTTCATATATTATTGTCTCGTCATTTTTCGGCGATCGATGCATCGATATACGAAAGGAATTGTCATTCCTGTATATAGCATTGATTTCTTTATAAATAACTCAGTTTTGGTCTACTTTTCGAATCTATTTTAAATATATAGAAAAATTCTTTACAAAAACTTATTAACATTACCGATCACCTTGATCTTGATCTATGTTGTAAAGAGTTCTCCTCTAATCTCCTTTACAGTTTTTGAGATATTTTATGACATTTTACAACATACTTCGGACACCCTATATATAACTTTAGAGACGTTCTTCTCAGCCTTAGTCTTAGCCATGTGTATCTTTAACTTAAAATATCTCAGTAACTATAAGAAAGAGCGCTGTCTGATTTCAAGTATATATTACTTAAAAATAAACCCTTTACACAATATACATTTATCAAGATCAAGATAATAAATAAATAAATAAATAAATTCGTGATCCGTGCATGCGTGTGCTATGTACGTTTTTGTAAAGAATTATCCAAGATATTCCCAATGATCCCAATTGATTTGCAAGTCTATCATTATTTATATTATACATATTTTATGGGGCTACTAAAAAAGAATATTAACCAATTTATCGTTTCACATATAAAAATAACGATATTACACAGATATTGTTTTTATCAAATATTGAAATATATGGCATTCTGTACGACAATAGACCATACATTTTATGTATACAGATTGTCCGAACATGACTAGCATTTTTTATATAAATTGACAGTTATCTTTTTTTTGCCCTGTATAATCCAAGCATTTTTTTTGTATTTGAAGGTAGTATAAAATAACATTATTTTGAATAATATTATTTTGTACTATTTTTGCAATGGTACGCAGAGAATTAAGCAAACTGTTATAATACCGAAAAAATATTATTTCAAGTTGTCTTCTAGAGAATAATGATTAATTAATAATTAATTTCTTTTTTTGTAGATAATTTTGCCTAAAAATAAAATCAAAAAATAACAGCGTATGATGTCAATTACTTAATTATTTATAGAACAAGGCGTACGTTAAAAAATGCTATAGTAATTGGGTTATAGAGGGTCGAAAAAACACAGCGTTTTACTCTATTGTTAATCTTTATTGGTATATGACAGTAAGATTATATTATTCATCACTTTGCATAATAGATTAGCTTTCTCTTTCTCTCTCTTT